ATTTAGGAACTCACATGTGACTGTCCATTTACTCCGTATTTTTCTTTATATAAACAGGACTGTTTTATTTTAAGATGATTTAAAACATGCTTTTCTCTTTTAGTTCTAGTTCACAGTTGACTTTACCAGTTGATTTGAAAAACATCTTGGAGAAACAGTTTTCTAAATCTTCCAGAGCTGCACACCAGGTAATGGAAAGAGCTTTTCCAGTAGAAATAGCAAAGCTCTGGTCATGAATTAATATATGCTTGCTAGTATTAATTTAAATACTAATTCAAAAATTGTTACCCAGAGATTTAACCAGTGGTTAGAACTGTAGAATTTCTTGCCAAAGATTTAATAGTAATACTAACTTTAAATCTTTTTCAAAGATTTGGATAATTTAAAGAGATTTAAACATATGTAGTTTCATTATGCCTACTTTAACAATAAACTTGGTCAATTCTTTTTATGTTATTTAGTGATGAAAATTTATATCATGGAATAGGATAATTGCTTCAAAATTTATGGGTCATTTAAAATTCAATTAATTATTTAGGTCTATATAACATCTTAATTTATGATAGTTGTTTGTGAACCCATTGTTTATTCAATACGTTTTTATTGGCCCCCTCCCAGATGTTGCAGACAGAGGGAGTCTGCATTGACACTGTCCAACCTGCTCTGATGAAACTTACAGTACAGATATCCTATGTTAAGTTATATTAAGGGAAATAATTTCCAAGGCTATGTGGATCTGTTCCTAGAATAAGAAAGCAGATTAAAACAGCATATTTTGGCTGGGGTGGAAGCTCAATGGAAGAGTGCTTGCCTAGCAGCATGTGTGAGGCACTAGGTTCTCAGCACCACATATAAATAAATAAAATAAAGATCCATTGACAACTAAAAATATTTTTAAAAAATATTTTTTAAAAAGGTGAATAACTAGTGATTGACAGGACAGCACTTCATGGCCTGTAATCTCAAATTCACATCTTAAAACAAATGTGGCTATCATGTGTGTTTTAAATACTATAGTGGATAACCAGGTTAATATGAGAATTCTTTTCCATCATATTTTGGGGGAAAGTTGCCCTATATTTTGGTTCATTGGCTAGAAACCGTCAGGAATCTTTTGTTAATCTGTGACTAAACTCTACAGTTTACCTTTTGAGTCTTTATTGTTAGGAATAGTGAGGAGTATATTGTTTAGATTAGTATTTTCTGTTCTCTGAATGGTGTACACATGTATGGCAAGGATGACAAGACTTTATCTTAATGTCTTACCTCTATCATCTTTGTGGAACTTTTGTAACTTAAGGCTATTGCCATGTAACTAAAATCTGAATTCACATTATAATGTTTGTGTACATATGTTTTCAACTTGCAAAGAGTTTATCACTTTATTTGAGTATATTATGTCAATTTTGTTTTTATTTTTTATGTTTTTCCTTTTATTTAATATTGTACTCTGTCAATAATTTTTTTCTGGTTATATTTAAGTACATGTGAAGTAGGAGTAGTTAACGATTGAATATGTATTTCTTGCTTAAAATTAATGTTTGTTTCAGCACAGGATGACAGTTGTTAAAATCTGATTGTTTGGGTACATAGGTCGTGTGTTCTAATGTGTCTAATTGTTGTAGTCCCAGACAATTTACTTATTTAGTGATGTTTGGTATTCTTCTTACATTGTTAAAACTCCAAAATATTATTGGTATAGACTGAAAAAGTAAGCAAAGCTTTGCACTGTATAGAATAAAATGAATCAAACTTTCCTCTCATGGGCAGTGGCAGAGGAATGAAGATAATGAGGCAGTGCTGTGCTGAGAAAGGAATATGATGAATAAAGTATAGTTTGAGTATTTATTTAAATACTTATTATCATTTTATAAAGTGTTAATGTGAACTTAACATCGTAAGTTTTAAACTAAAAAGCTGTAGATTTGCACTAGTGAAATAAAATTTTTCTTTTTTTTTTCCTTTTTGCAGGATTTTGCTAATATAATGAAAATGCTAAGAAGCTTAATTCAAGATGGTTACACAGCCTTATTGGAGCAGCGTTGTCGAAGTGCTGCGCAGGCCTTTACAGAGTTGCTAAATGGTTTAGATCCTCAAAAAATAAAGGTAAAATTGCCAAATCATAGCTTGTTTATCAATACCAGTGCACCTCAAATGAATTTAGAAAAAATCAAGGCTTTAACTCGAATTTATATACCTTATACCTGGGCTGGGAGCAGGTGAATCTCCTCCAGGTTGTGGGGCATAGGTGATGATCCCAATTCAGAGTTTGTGATTACATTCAATGTATGATCCATGCTTATGTTCTCTTTTTGACCATTGTTTGGGTTATCAGAACCTCTGGCCTTTCCTTTTATGAAAAGGAGACTTTTTAATAAATTAAGAATTTGGACTCACTTTTAGGTTGCATTTTTTTATCCAGCAAGAAGGAATTAACTAGATAAATGAGTAGCTTAAGCAAGATTGTGAAAGAGCAGATATCTTACTTAATCTGTTACTAACACTCACATGCAAAAGCACATGATTTTAATTAAAAATTATTCTAATTTATTATGAAGTATGCCTTAAACAACTGACAGATCGATTCTGTGTTTATTTTTTTAAAAATACATATATTTTTTTAGTTGTAGTTGGACACAATACCTTTATTTTATTTATTTATTTTATGTGGTGCTGAGGATGGAACCCAGGGCCTCGCTCATGTTAGGCGAGCACTCTACCGCTGAGCCACAACCCCAGCACTGATTTTGTGTTTTAAATACTTGATATGAATATAACAGTTTTGTATTTGCAAAATATATTTTCTAATTCTATTTGATTTTTAATTCAATCATACTGATGAATGATGTTATTACACTTGTTTAGTGATGTTATTACACTGTTGTGGCTAGAAGGTTAATGTGATGTAAACTGGCAGATTTATGTTTAGATTTTTAACTAAAGCCTTTTTATTGACAGCAATTGAACCTGGCCATGATTAACTATGTATTAGTAGTATATGGACTTGCCATTTCTCTGCTTGGAATAGGACAGCCTGAGGTAAGATTTTAACACAGAGAACAAACAATTAAAATAGGATATTGGTTTTGTAAGATATATAAAAACTGTTTTTCCATTTTGGCTCATTTCCTTCTGTGTACTTTCTTGAAAGGCTGAAATAGCTAAATTTAAATAGTTTGTGCTTTTTTTTTCTTTTTTTTTTTTTAAAGAAAACGTTGTATTCCTATTAGAAAAAAGTAATGCTTGCAGTACTGGGATTCTACATCTTACTTACATAAAAAATAAAGAATCTAATATATCATGGTAGGCAAATTGCAAAAACATAAAGTTGAAGGAAAAGAGCAGGTTGGAGAACACAAACATTGTGATAACACTAGTGTATCATTTCGTATAGAACAATACTAAATATTGTTTATGGATATCTCTGCATTTTGTAAAACTGAAAAAAAAATATCATGGACTACCCGTTTATCATATTTAAGATAATGACAACATTTATTGATAAAAGAGGGAATAGGCCTGAGGAAGTTAGAAAGGAGATCTCAACTTTGTGTTATGCTGTTTTATTAGAAAACTGAAGTAAACATGACCATGCTTAATAGCTCTTAGTTCTGGGTGATGAGTAGTTTGGTGTTTGGTTAATTCTTAAGTGGAGGATTCAGGTAATGGCATATGGTCTGCATGTAGGTGTGAACTCTAGTGGTCCCCATTACTCATGCTCTTCTTTTACTTTCCTGGGATGCTTACTTACCTGTGCTATTCAGTGTTATAACCTTGTTTGAGGTTCTCTAGAATGATTTCAAGTATTATAACGTATCCTTTCTGCCAACTTGGATGCTAAACTTCCCTGATAAAATGAAAGTTCAACTCTAAATTGCTACCTAGTTAAGATCAAACTTGACGTTCATGTTTTACTCACTTCTGAGAATCTACAGTGCCTGAGGTTCATTTTCCTTGTTCTTGATGTGACAGATGGAATGCCTTCTATTAATGCCTGTCTAATTCTGTTTTATAATATATCAATGGAAACAGGACTTCATGATTTTAATTCTATCTTGACAGTATAATAAATTTCATGCTTTCCCTTATTGGAATTGAAGAAATAGTTTGTTATACTCATGATTTACTGTAAAATAGACAAATTTTTTTAAAAAAAACTATGAATATGGTAGAATTTATGCATTTAAAAGATTTTCATCAGCGTAGACCCTTAAGGAAGCCATGTGTTGACCACAGTCCAGCCCTTGTTTCCGACATTCTTGGAATGCCTCTAAAGGGCTATTTTTTTGGGGGGGGGCTATTTTTAAGATAGCTTTTGTCTAAGAGAGCAGTACTTAATAGGATGTAGATTACAATGTGTGTGCATGTGTGTATTTGTATTTGTGTGTTTTTTTATCATGAATTTACATCTTATAGTATTAGCCAGCATAGGCCATCACTTTGTGTGTACAAAGAAACGTTTATATAGTTGGCTGTCTTATATTTTTGGCAAGGTTGGATTTGTTGAATTCCTGGGTTTCCATATGCTCATCTGATTAGCTACAGGAAATTTGTATAACTTCTAAGAAAATGAAATGCAGAGAGTATAATTTTTCCGTAAGAATTTTTTAATATACAGTTTTTTTTTAATATTATACGAAAGGAATCAACTTTGGGGTGAAGTCTGTTTTAACATTTTTCTTCTTGCATAAGTGATTATTGTTCTCACCTTTATTAAAGGAATTATCTGAAGCTGAAAACCAGTTTAAAAGGATTATTGAACATTACCCCAATGAGGGACTTGATTGCTTGGCCTATTGTGGAATTGGAAAAGTATATTTAAAAAAAAACAGGTTAGTAGAAATGACATTAATTTCCAGGCTGATAAATTTGAAGTCTTAATGTGATGATGATCCTTTTTCTGGAATTATTTTGTTACCTTATGTATGGCACACTATTATGATTGTGATTTACTTTGAGGAGCTGACATCTTAATATCGATATTAAGTATTAAAGCAAGATCAATCAGTGCAATTCTTGATGCTTCTTAATTTTGTAATTCATAAGAAAGTCAGTAATAGAGTATTTAACATGAAGAATTTAATATCCATTTGTACATTTCATCTATAAATGGTGACTGAATTGATATAAATTAGTACTTTAAAATATGGTTTATACATTTTGATGTTAAGCATCTATTTCCAAAAAAATTGTATGAAAGTGTTTTTAATAAAAGGTACATATTAACATGATGTTAAACACATCATGAGTTAAGCATAAAAACCTTTCTGAATTTCTATTATAGTAGAAATCCTTATTCCAAGTTCAAAATACAACTTTTCTCTAAATGTTTCATTGCTCTTAGTCTTGTCTCCCCAGATTGCCTGTATGACCCTTAGGGAACAGGATTGTGTCTTGGGTTTTAAAAAAAGAAATCTGTGTTTCCAACCACTTGCATTCAATATACATAGGTTACATTATAAAGAAATAATTGTTCACTGATTGAAATATCTCTTATAATTTTTAATTTTCCTCATATTTTCATCTAACTTTTTAGGGAAAGTTCTATGAGATTCTTGGGAACCCAGTCTTAGAGTGTGCCTGGAACCTCTTTGTAGATTTTTAAAGATTAAAGAAAATTCTTTTACTTCATGAAGTTACTTTTGAACTGGTCTGTAAGGATCAAGTAGTTATAAGGGAAATAGGATTTAGCAATCACCTTTATGGTAATAGCAAATAAAATTAATTTCAAAGTGTAGTGTAAATTGTTAGGACATACTTGTTTAATGCAACGGTGATATGCTGGTATTCACAAGGTCCAGGAAAGAAACATAAATGTGTAAAATCATGGAAATGTGGTAAACTGAAAAGTCTTTGCCATGTTGAAAGGCATTTACATTTTAATTCCTAAGTAATATGATGTGGGTAAAAGTCTAATAGCTGCTTTTTGGCATTGTAATGTACCATTTGTATCCTGCTATTGATAATTGTCTTATGGTGGATGGTAGTCTAGCTTTTCTACATATAAATCTTTTTTTTTCAATTTTTTTTGTCAGTGAGTTATTGGCTTTTTTTTAAACTTTATTTTTATTTGTTTATTTTTATATGGTGCTGAGGATCGAACCTAGTGTCTCACGAGTGCAAGGCAAGCACTCTACTACCACTGAGCTACAACCCCAGGCCTACATATGAATCTTTACATATGTATAGGCAAAAATAAGTTTTTAAATTAGAAAATAGTTTCAAGATTGGAGAAAGCAGGGAATCTCTTTTTTTTTTTTTTTTAGTCTAAAGAGAATAAAGCCCCCATTAACTTCATAATCCAATACTTCAGTATCTTTTTTTTGAATGGAACAAAGTTGCATTTTAAAAGGACTAGCACGCACCTTACCATGATAAACCAAAGGCCAGGACATAGTTATATTTAGTTTATATTACTGTAATAACAAGCAGCAATAAACCTTAGTTTTATTTAAAGGAAATTTAGTGTTCATTGAATACTTCCATCTGATGTTTTATTGAAGGTACTCCTACCAAGAAGCTCTAGGTCTTGCGAACTCTTTTTTTTTTTTTAAAGAGAGAGTGAGAGAGGGGAGAGAGAGAGAGAGAGAGAGAGAGAATTTTTAATATTTATTTTTTAGTTCTCGGCGGACACAACATCTTTGTTGGTATGTGGTGCTGAGGATCGAACCTGGGCCGCACGCATGCCAGGCGAGGACGCTACCGCTTGAGCCACATCGCCAGCCCCCCATCTTGCGAACTCTTGTAGTAAATGAAAATATCACATCACATCTTCAGTATCTTTTTTTTTCTAATTCTGATTTTAGATTCCTAGAAGCTCTCAATCACTTTGAGAAAGCAAAAACCTTGATTTGTCGTCTTCCAGGAGTGTTAACTTGGCCCACCAGTAATGTGATTATTGAAGAGTCTCAGCCAGAGAAAATAAAGGTAACAGTTTGTTTTTGAGAATGTTCCCTGCTAGCTATATTAAGTGATGCAGGTGTTGAAAGACAGACAGTAGTACTCTCCTCACAGTCCCTGACATGCATTCTCCCTTGAAAGAGAAACAATGACTTTTAATGCACGTTTCCTAGGTACTAGTGACACACCTTCCATTCATCATTACATTTTCCTTACAGCAGCCTTGAGAATTGTGTAGTATGATCATTTCCATTTTACAGTTTAGATAGGTGAAGTGATGAGCTCATGGTTAAGCATCAAGGAAGTGGTAGAGCTGGAACTTGAGTTCAGGCATTCTGACATTAGAGCATGTGTTATTAAGCAGGATGCTGTACTGGTTGTACTTAGAGGAAGGTATAGTATTACTGTTTTATTATATTAATATCATTATTGAGATGGGTCCTGAGTTTATGAATTGAATTATGAATTTAGTGTCATTTCTGGAGATGGATGCTTTACCAATTCTGGAAAAACTAATAAATTTTGTCTCATATACCAGAACTTGCTTTTGTATGAAGCTTTTAAAATTACAGGGGCCAACTTTTACAACTTAATAGTAAAAAGACAAATAATCGAATTTACAAGTATGTAATAGACATATCTGCAAAGAAAATATAGTGATAACCCATTAGTACAATATTGTTAACCATTAAGGAAATGCAAATAAAAACACAGTGAGATACTGGTTCACACTCTGAGGATATGCATAGATATTAAGTGTTGGCAAGGGTATGGAAATATTATAACATTCATACTTTGCTGGTTGTAACGTAAAATGGTGCAGCTGCTTTGGGACAACAAGACTGGCAGTTCCTCAAATAGTTAAACATAGGGTTACCATGTGACACAGCAGTTCCACTCCTAGATTTGTACAAAAAAAGGAAAACATGTTCTCCCCAAAACTTGTACATTAATGTTTATAGCAGCACAATTCATAATAGCCCCAAAGGAGGAACAACCCAAGTATCCACTGATAAATAGATAAACAATAAGTACTGATAACATGCATGAATCTTGCGAACACTGTACGAAATAAAAGAAGCCAGACACAAAGGTCACATGCTATATGATTCTGTATATATGAAATATCCAGAAGAGGCAAATCTGTATACAGAGACAGAAAATAGATTGTCTAGGTCTGGGCATTAGGGGAAAAAGATGAGGAACTGCTAATGGTATTGAGTTCCTTGTTGGACGATGAAAATGATCTAAATTTAGATTGGTGATGGTTGTACAACATTTTGGATATATTAAAAGCCACTGAACTGTACTCTTATGTAAGTTTTATTATATTTATATCAACAAAGCTGTTACAGAAAAATAAAGCACAGAGATTATTAGATTTTCCTCTCATTATACATATTGGGATGGAGATATACAAGTTATTGACAACAAAAAACCAGTACTGAAAGCATTGTGTTAGTCTCTTGGAGGCTTCTAATTCTCTAGAGTATTAACAAATACATGTGGCAGAGATAGATGAATGGGAGTGTTAGGATTTTAGATCAAGTTACATTGAGAAAGAGATGAATCATAGGATTTTCAGGCTTGCCCTAAGGCTTACTTTATCTTAATTGTTTGATTTCTCTTAATTCTTTCCTTTTTTTTTTTTTTCCTGGTTTCTGGGCAGTGAACCCAGAGATATTTTACCACTGAGCCATTCCCAGCCCTTTTTGTATATTATCTTGAGACAGGTTCTTGCTAAGTTGCTTAGGGCCTAAGATGGTAAGACTAGCCTTGAACTTGTGATCCTCCTGCCCCAGCCTCCTAAATCACTGGGATTACAGGCATGCGCCATTACACCCAGCTTCCTTCTTGATTCTTAAAGGAGATTTCTAAAAACTATAAATTACAAAACCAGTTTTAATGATAACAGAGGTCAAGATTTTGATTCTGACTGAAATTCTAAAAACAAGAATTTTGTTCATTTCTCTTTGTTTACATATCTTTGTATCAGCTTCCTTTTAAAAGGAAAATCTTTAAAA